TGTTTGGTTTTTCATTTTCCAAATGTAGTATATTTATAGCACAACTAATGAGGGAAAGAAAGGGCTCTCTCCCAAACAGGCCTTCATTATGTTATCACTTAGTCATTTAAAAAAAATATTTGCAGATAGTATGGATATAGACATATTACAGATCTCCATTATAGCTTTTGATGTTATTGTATGGATGGGTGGGTGGATAGATAGCCAGTTGGATGGATACATTGATAGATGATAGACACATAGATAGACACATATCTAAAACTGATAGTTCAGCCCCATCATAGCCATTTATTAATTTGCTGAAGATAAACTAACAAGTTCTCTGGATATGAATTCCAAAGGACAAGTGATTGAAATGCTGATTTGATATGAGTGGGGAATGCTTTCTTCTGTTATCATAATTATCCACATAGCCCCAAAGATGGTGGCATGTTAACATATTCTGATCATCTCTGTGTCTCAATCATTTAGTAAGTGATGAGCTGGTAATTACCTCTTTTTTTTTTTTTTTTTTTTTTTTTTTTTTTTGGTCACCATCCAAGTATATCTATTATTTCCTCCTGGATCTAGCTCACAATTCTCCCCTCCCTGGAAACTTTCCAAGAGTTTTAGTCTGTTCTTCTCTGATCTTTTCTTTACTATATAATCTTCACATTTTAACTTGCCTTCATTTAGGAGTTGTGTTTAATATTCCTAACTTGTTTCAGATTTACAAGTTTGTGTCCACATGAAGGAAGTGCATACATTAGTATGTTTCAAAACTTCTATGTAACCCCTCCCTCCATCAGCCTCTATGATTCCTGGGTATCAATCAGTATCAGTATCAAGTGATAGTATCCTTTTTATAAATTGGAGAGTGGGTAATGAAAGAAGGATGAAAGTAAATCACATAACAAATGTGGGTGAAATTGAGACCAGAACCTGCAATCGTCCGTGTGCTGTAAACTGAACAATTTATCGCTAGAGGGATGGAGTGCACAATGAAAATGTGCACTTTATTAACCCATTGTTGATGGATTATGATGTCACACACCAAACCTTTGCATTGCCAACTGGTGCTATTTTATTCAAATGAGTCTGAAGAGTACCTTGGAAAGAGAGCTAGACTGACCTGAAAGTAATATAACATTCATTGTGTGTCAGCCATACTTCGGTTTGAGAGAGAGAGACTGAGAGCATGCTAGACTGGAAGGGAGAGGATTGGAGTTTGAATCCCAGGTCTGTTATGTATCAGTGGGCAAAGTCAGCTCTGAGTTTTAGTGGTACTCAGTAAAGGAAGGAGGATGCCTACCTAGCTGCCCTTTAGATTCCTTGCAACATTAAAATACTGGAAGTGATTCTGTGGTCCCAGAGTTGAATATTTCATGTATTCAGAGATGGGAGGTGTGAAGGCAGACAAGAAAGATTGACTGAAATATTGTTTAAGATGGATAGAATTTAGAGAAGTTTTTTTTTCCCTGCAGTATATACCCAAAGATAACACTGACCATGAAAAATTCTAATATAGTTAGCTATTATTTGTCAAGCTCACAGAAAGTCTTGATAACATTTTTGCTAAAGGATTATCCAAGCAGGTCCAGTAACTGAGAAATTACTTCAAGACCTTGGCATACCTTACAGTCTTTATTCATGTTATACATCAGTCAACACAGATGCCCAGGATTGGAAATACCAGGAAGATACTTTTGGGGAAGACCATGAATTACTGAGAACATTTCATTAAGTAATCTGCTAATTGTTGATAGAGAATAGGAATGTGCAAGAGTATAATTTCTGTCTAGAATGCTGGCTGAAAAGACTTTATCCACTGTGATATAAACAAATTAATACTGTTTTCTTAAAAATTTGTGCAAAACATTATTGAAGAGGAGAGGCCAATTGTTTAAATCCACAGAAAATAAGAGTATATGTGTCTAAAAGGGTTTTAAGGAGCACCTTGAGGGGGTGCCTGGGTGGCTCGGTCGGCTGAGCATCCGACTCTTGATTTCAGCTCAGGTCATGGTCCCAGGGTCATGGGGTCGAGCTCCATGTGGGGCTCCGTGCAGAGCGTGGAACCTACTTAAGATTATCAGTCTCTCTTCCCCACTCATTCTCGTTCTCTCTCTCTCTCTCTCTCTCTCTCGAGAGAGAGAGAGAGAGAGAGAAAACGCACTTTGAGCAAATGAAAGAGAGAAATAATAATAAACAGGTAAGATACAACTGAAATGCACTAGAAAGCTACTCAAATGGACTTGATATTTTTGAGGATGAGTTAGCTAGCATTCATACTAAATGTATCAAAAGATGTCCATTTCCTCCTTTCCTCTTCCCAGCTACTTCCCCTTCTCTGTTCAAAGGTATTATTTCTTCAGTTCATCCATTGGGGTCAGCATAGATGTTGTTACTCTGAGAAAAGGTTCTGATGTATATGTGATACATGGTTCTTTTTCTCTCTGAGAAATCCTCAAACAGAACATCACCTATTTGGGCAGTCAACCCATTTATACCCCTCCTCCACAAATAACCATAACATTCCATATAATGGAAGACTATTCAGTGATTTAAAAAGAACGGGGGGGGGGGGCGCCTAGGTGGTTCAGTCAGTTAAGAGTCCAACTTCAGCTCAGGTCATGATCTCACGGTCCGTGAGTTCGAGCCCCGTGTCAGGCTCTGTGCTGACAGCTCAGAGCCTGGGACCTGCTTCAGATTCTGTGTCTCCCTTTCTTTCTGCCCCTCCCCCACTTGTGCATGAATACTGGCACTTGCGTGCACACGTTCTCTCTCTCCCTCTCTCTCTCTCTCCTCCTCCTCTCCTCCTCTCAAAAATAAATGAACATATGGGGCGCCTGGGTGGCGCAGTCGGTTAAGCGTCCGACTTCAGCCAGGTCACGATCTCGCGGTCCGTGAGTTCAAGCCCCGCGTCAGGCTCTGGGCGGATGGCTCAGAGCCTGGAGCCTGTTTCCGATTCTGTGTCTCCCTCTCTCTCTGCCCCTCCCCCGTTCATGCTCTGTCTCTCTCTGTCCCAAAAATAAATAAACGTTGAAAAAAAAAAATTAAAAAAAATAAATAAATAAATGAACATAATGAATGAATGAATGAATGAATAAGAGTATGCAAATCTGTGCAGAAGAATTCCATATACTTTATGTAGACATACCTCTCAAGGAGGTAGAGTGACTTACTTCAAAGGGTGCAGTAGAGAAAGCAGCAAAGGAAGCAGAATGTAACTTTATGTGTGGAAACCTGGCAAACACTACCTGGGCCAGGTGACCAAGGTCAGTATCATCAGGGAGAAGCCATGTTAATGGTATGCGCCCTGCATACGATGTGATATAATTGGTGATCACCTCCAAAACCAATAACCCCAGTTTAACCCTGGGAAAAACATCACACATACCCAGTTGAGGGACATTCTGCAGAACCCATGAGCACCACTTGTTAAAATTGTCAAGGTCATCAAAAACAAGGAAAATCCAAGAAACTATCACAGACCAGAAGAGACTAAGGAGACATGACAAATAAGTATGTAGTGTCATGAATGGGGCCCTGGAATACTGGGGAAAGAAACTAGTGACATTCACATAAACTATGGAGTTTAGTTAATAGTAGTGCAAGATATTAACAATACAGTAAGGGGTATATGAGAGCTCTGTGTATGCTCTTTGCAATTTCTCAGTTTATTTAAAACTATTCCAAAATTAAAAGTTTATTTAAGGGTGCCTGGGTGGCTCAGTCGGTTGGGTAACCGACTTCAGCTCAGGTCATAATCTCGCAGTTTGTGGGTTCAAGCCCCGCGTTGGGCTTGGTGATGACAGCTCAGAGCCTGGAGCCTGCTTCGGATTCTTGTCTTCCTCTCTCTCTGCCCCTCCTCCGCTCTTGCTCTGTCTCTGTCTCTCAAAAATAAATAAATGTTAAAAAAAAATAAAAAACTTTAAAACAAAGGGGTATAGACAAAAAGTATTAGTCCAGGACTGATTGGATAGGAAAAAAAAGAAAACCTTGTCTTTCACTGATCTATAAATCATATGTTCTAGGACAAATTTGACTTTTGCCTCTAGTTTGAAATCCTCTATTATACTGAGATGATTTTGAACTCCTTTGCTACTTGCTCACAGGTATTTTTCTCCTAAAATTCTGGAAGTCTGAAGTCACAACACTTTGTTCTTTGTTCTTTTATCCACCCCCATCGTATTTTGCTGCAAACCTTGTCATTGTCAAGGCACAGCTGACTGGCTTTGTAAGTGGTTTGTGATTTCTTTCTGTTCCTGGTATTCTGGTGTTATTTAGGTTCGTTAAGGGGAACATTTGGGCTCGGCAGTTTGTCACTAAGGTTCAAGTACAACAACCACATCAACTACTAAGTCATCCAGACCTCAGCCGTGATGATACAGAAGTGTGGCTCTAGCAAGCATTACAGTTAGATGCTTAATGAAAATATCACAGGTGATCACATATAAAATCTCATACGTGATCTTCAAGCTGTTCAGTGTAGTTCAGAAAATGCCTTCTTTTTCTATAAAATCTAGTAACTCCAATTTTTATGAATTCTGTAAAAGGGTAAAAAAAATGTGCGCCCATTCCTGGGTATGTTAATACTCAAGTGACAATACTTACTCGTTTTGCAAATAATATGAATAATGAATGTAAGAAATATGATTTTTAAAACCAGTTATAGACTTAAAATTATAATCAGCTTATCATTAGATGGTTAGGGCTTATTATTTAAGGAGAGGAACCAGGGAGAAGGTTTCCCCTAACTAGTAAATAAGACAGTGTTGCTTAGTCTTCTAAATGGCTTTTTGATGTTTAATTGATATCTCTATTGAGATAGGTAAACGCAAATTTGCAATTAAGGTTATATAATATTTGACTTATTTCACCACTGAAACGATCAATTTTTATCACTTTTTAGGGGATATTCCTGGGGTCTTTCTTCCTCAGTGGAGTAGGGGTGGGATTGCAATATCAGTTTGAAAGCATGAAATGATTTCTTTAAATGGCATTCCCTTTACTGTTCTCAGACAATCGTTAGAGGAAATAAACCGTGCAAAGAAACCTCCATCAACGGCCTGCTGGAGGACTTCGACAACATCTCTGTGACTCGCTCCAACTCCCTAAGGAAAGAAAGCCCACCCACCCCAGACCAGGGAGCCTCCAGCTACGGTCAAGGCCATCGGGAAGAAAATGGCTTCATCACCTTCTCGCAGTATTCCAGCGAGTCCGATACCACTGCTGACTACAGCACTGAGAAGTATCGAGAAAAGAGTCTCTATGGTGATGACCTGGATCCGTTTTATAAAGGCAGCCATGCCGCCAAGCAAAATGGGCATGTCACAAAGACCAAACACGGGGAAGCCTACTATTCTGAGATGAAGCCTTTGAAATCCGATATTGCCAGATTTCCTGTTGATTATCACACACACTTGGACTCACTGAGCAAACCAAGTGAATACAATGAGCTCAAGTGGGAGTACCAGAGAGCCTCAAGCAGTTCCCCTCTAGATTATCCATTCCAATTCATGCCTTCTAGAACTGCGGGGACCAGCGGGTGTTCCAAGGAGAGTCTGGTGTTCAGCGAAAGCGAGTGGGGACCCAGCCTAGATGACTATGATAGGAGGCCAAAGTCATCATACTTGAATCAGACCAGCCCTCAGCCCACCATGCGGCAAAGGTCCAGGTCAGGTTCGGGGCTCCAGGAACCAATGATGCCCTTCGGAGCAAGTGCATTTAAAACCCACCCCCAAGGACACTCGTACAACTCCTACACCTACCCTCGCCTGTCCGAGCCCACAATGTGCATTCCAAAGGTAATGTTATGTTCACTGCCTCCTTCCTCCTTATGTGCAGGCACCCCACAAAGGTGGTGCTAACATGACCTTCTCACAGAGATCTAATGTGATACTTCACCTTTTAAGTGAGAGCCATATCAAAACCCTACCTGATTTCTATCCACGAGCCCCAAGGGCAGAGGATGTAGGGCAAGGCACATTTATTCATTAAAATCCAAGTCTTTGGAGATCCCCTACAGGGTTTCTGATTAAAAGACAAAAAATTATTTATTTGAAAGATGTCCTGATATACTACTAATAAATAGTCTGCTCATATTGTACTCATATACTCCTCTATTAAGGAGCACTCATATTGTGCTCATATACTCCTCTATTAAGGAGCATATGATCATAAACCATTAGATAGAGTAATTACAGTGGTTCCTATATTCTAACAAATTTTACATGGATCTATAGAAAAGGAAAAAAATAATCAGGATTACATGGTAAGTTTTTAATAAAGTTTATTTTAGAGTTAAATTTTAATTTAATAACCATTCTCACAGGTGTGAGGTGATATCTCATTGTGGTTTAGATTTTCTCTTATGATGAGTGATGTTTAGAACCTTTCTTTCCATGTACCTGTTGACCATTTGTGTATCTTCTTTAGAAAAAAGTGTATTCAGGTCCTTTGTCCATTTTTTGATTGGGTTATTTGGGATTTTTTTTTTTGCTATTGAGTTGAATGACTTCCTTCTATATTTTTTAACCTCTTATCAGATATGTGGTTTGCAAATATTTTCTCCCATTCCATAGGTGCATTTTCATTTTGTTGATGTTTCCCTTTGCTGTGCAGAATCTTTTTATTTTGATGTAGTCCCACTTGTTTATTTTTGCTTTTGTTGCCTTTTGGTGTCAAATATAAAAAATCATGCCAAAACCAATGCCAAGAAATTACCCCCTCTTTTTCTTCTAGGAGTTTTATGGTTTCAGGTCTTACATTCAAGTCTTTAATGCATTTTGAGTTGTTATGTATAGAGTAAGATAGGGACCCAGTTTCATTCTTTTACATGTGGCTGTCCAATTTTCCCAGCACCATTTATTGAAAACACTATCCTTTCTGCATTTGTATATTCTTGGCTCCTCTGCTGAAATTTGATGGACTGTATATTTGTGGGTTTATTTCTGGTCTCTGGTCTGTTCCTTTGAGCTATGAGTCTGCTTTTATGCCAATACCATACATTTTGATGTCTATAACTTTGTAATATAGTTTGAAATATCCAGCTTTGTTCTCCTTTCTCAGGACCGCTTTGGCTGTTTAGGGTCAAATGTGATTTGTGCATGTGTGCTGTAGTTGCACACTTATGGTAGGAAGCTGTTTGTGTCAAGATCATAGAAAAAGCTTTGTCCAGAGACAATAACCATTCAGCCCTGGGGCCATATTTGGCCCATTGACCTGTTGGGTCCACAAAATAGTCATCTCCAGCTTCTGAAAAATCAAGATATTTCATTTAGTATCTTCAACTTCTGGGTTTCAGCCTTCTCTTTAAAAAAAAAAAATGGGAATATCTGACATGCCTGGGCACAATTTTCACATAGCATTGGAAATGGAACTGGCTGGAAGCAAAGGCTGACCCATTAGAGGAGAGAGGCCCTTCTCAGTCCACTTCATTCATTTTTCTCATTAACCTAATCCTAGAGGCATTTGGGATTTAATATAACCCCCAACAGTGCCTGCCCACCCATTTCACAGGAGGAAAAACTGAGGTCCAGAGTGTCATGTGGCATACTTAAGGTTTCATAATTAGTTGGTTGCAAAACAAGGACAAAATCCAGGTCTGGTGTTTTTCCCAGTCCCATATTCTTCCCCTTATGAGGGCATAGGTGATTTCAGGGGATTAATTGCATTTGCCACTAAAACCCATGAGGGGCCCCAGTGGCCACCAGAAGTCTCAGCTAGGTAGAGGAGTAGGAAGAGGATGGAGGGAAGGGATAATTTGCTTCATTCCTTGCTGGGTCCTTCTTCCTGCAGACTTCCAATTATAAAGCAAAGCAGACCTACTCTGAAATCTGGTTTTGTTAAACCCAGAAACAGTGCAAGAAACAATGCAGAAAACTATTGTGGCTCAGAAAAGATGTATCTGTAACAGAAATAATGAGGAAACTGTTGTGGCTCAGGAAAAAAAAAAGACAACATAGTCACACTTGGGAACTTCTACCAAGAGTTTTTCAGCCCTTATAATCAAGGGCTCTGAAGGAGCAAGCTGCTGTTCCATGTCACACGGGACCCACGAGAAATTCATGGGCAGGTTTCGTGGGAGGGTAGGTGGTGGGAGGCATGTTAGTAATTAAAACGTTTACTTTATTAAAAATATAACATCTCTCTAAAAAGACTTCGGTGCCTGTGTCTTTAGAACTGTACTCTTAAAAATCTACCAATCACATTTGGATTTCCTGCTGAGGGAAGAAATAGAGATCACGACTCAGATAATTTGGCTTTGCCTTATGGAAAGTCCTAGAGGCTGGTGGGTAATGTTCACATCTCAAATAATAAGAGAAAGGATCAAATTTGTGTGGGTTTCCAGATAGAGCAAATATGAGGAGGAAAGTTGTGTGTATGAGAGAGAGAGAGAGAGAGAGAGAGAGAGACAGAGAGAGACAGAGAGAGACCAGTTTTACATTTTGGCCTAAAGGAGGAAAAATACTAACATTAACTCACAGAAATAACTCCTCCAGTGTTATCTGCCTACCTAATTTTCCTGTTGACATGACAGGAATCAAGGATGTTACAAATCTGTAGATATAGCATCTGTCTCCCTACTTTTGAATGTTTTTGGCTGCCACAAGGCAGATGAAACCTTGGGGGGTAAATAAAGCCAAAAAAAAAAAAAAA